TAACCAGAAGGCTGGCGGTTCAAACCCACCAGCCACTCCTCAGAAGGAAGGTTGGGCAATCTACTTCCGTAGTGATAATGCCTCAGAAACCCAAGAAGGGGTCGCTGTGAGTTGTGTCTGACTCGATGGCACATAACAACAACTAACAACAACAGTCCTATGCTAACAGAACTCTGATGGTGCAGTGGCTGAGACTTTTGACTGCTACCCAAAAGGTTGGCGGGTCAAACCCAACTGCTCTGCAGGAGAAAGATGAGAAATCTGCTTCCATAAAGATTCATGGCCTTGGAAACCCTATGGGACGTTGTGCTCCGTCCTAAAAGTCCACAGAGTTGGGATTGACTTGGTAACAGTGGGTTTTTAAATTTTTAATCCTATGGTATTTAGCTCCATTTCTCAAGGTCTCAGAACAACATGAGAAACTCCAATCAAAGGGGTTTTTTCTACTAAGTCACCTGAGTGATATACTCTGGGGATCCAGGGACTAATAATGCATCCCTTGCCTATACATAATGAAACGTCTATCAGCTTAGCTCACTGGAGAAAAGGCTGCGATGAACTGTCAGTATCCCTGACAATTCCTTTCGTTACTAATGACTATCATGTAAGACCCTTAAGTGAAGTTTGAAGACTCAAGCTGAAGTCGGAAGAGCTGTGTCCCTGCCCTGAAGCCAGTGTGGCTCAGCATTTTCCTAGCCCACTACTTGGGAATAGTTTTCTCTTTAATCTTGGGTTCCATTTGGTATACGTTATTCTCATACATCACCATCACAAGAAGTAAGTGAGATACACAGGGCGATTTACAATGTGTTAAAGATACATATTTGTTGAAGACTGAAATGAGAGAGCATGTTAGGGTGCTCGACATTTTCAAATAGGACATTTGCTCTCATTTTACAAATAAGTAGAATAAGGCCCTAAAGGGATACATGAGTTGCTCAAGGTCATGGGGTGGTAGAGTTGGGGCTTGCACCCAGATTTTCGAAGTCTGGTGGCTCTGTAATAGGAACTTTTCCATCCTACAGAGTATAGTCTGTGTTCTTCATTAACTGGCAGGCTGTCAGTGTCAAAGAACAATAACGTTCCTGTAACCCTAAGTAGTAACGGCAGGGCTAAAACGAGACTCTCGAATTGTTGCAGTCATTGTGTGTATGCAGAGGAGAGAGAGAGAGAGTAGGGAGAAGAAATACAAATTCACGGATGCCAACACAAACTAGGAGTGGGCTTGGGGAATGTGTCCCAAAGCAGCCAAGGTGATTTTGATTGTGACTGAGAAATGTCTGGGGCCTATAGCTTATCTTCCTCTCTCTAAACAAACCAACCAGTTGTCTTCAATTTGATTCCAGCCCGTGGTGACTACATATGTGTCAGGGTAGACGTGCTCCATAGGGTTTTCAGTGACTGGTTTTCCTAAGTGTATCACCAGGCCTGCCTCCTGAGGCACCTCTGGGTGGATGCCAGCTGCCAACCTTTCGGTTAGCAGCCAAGTATGTTAACCATTTGCCCCACTCAGCAACTCCAGTAGACATGCTACTAAAATAAAAATGCATTTAATGTCTGCTTGATCTTAATTATGATCAGAAGAACCATCCTGTAAAGAGTGTATCACATGAATCGCCAAAATGCGTATTTTGTGGAGGGCGTCTGACACTAGCTCAACTCTATCAACAACTATTTCAGCTTCTAGCTATTTTACGCATCAGAAACCATTTGTGTGTATGGAAGCAATTTTTGAACTAAAAATCAATATAGCCATACTGGAAAAAAGGCCCAAGTTGATAGGCTGATTATAGGTACATAAATGCTGACTTAAATATTTCAGCCCTTGGAAATTGGTCTAACCCTCTTCTGTCTTCCTTATTTTTGTCTTTAGTACCCTCTGGGACTGACAGCTCAGCCTGAACTCTACCTTCTGAACACCGTGGATACTGACTCACTTGTATCTAGGTGACTGACAGCCC